TCAGGGTTCAGTTCCAACACCCATATGATGGCTCACGTTCATCAGTAACTCCAGTTCCAAGGAGTCTAAATGCCTCTACTGGCTCCCACTGGCATGCACATGGTACACAGACAAATGCGTGTACCATGTGTGCAGACAAAGCACCCAGATACATAAAATGATCTTTGAAAACCAAAAAGCCAGAAACCACAAAAACACGCAGGCAAAAATAGCTTAGCGTGAGACACAAAAGAACCCTCAGTGGGTTGCCAAATCTTCTAGTATTACCTTCCAAAAAATAAGCTTTGGATATGTTTTTAATTGAATTGGGAAGTAAATTAAAGGAATACAGTGTAAACTACTTTTAAGACATTTGATAAGATTTCGTGTTATCCCGGCCTTACAATCTGAACATGAATCCCATTCCCCTTAAAATAAATCCACGGACTTAATGCAATGTTCAGAGATGCACATCTGGGGAGTTGATGGGGTCACTGATGAATTCATGACTTGATGGTGTTATTTTGAGGAAGTGGAAAGCAGGAGGTTAGAGGAATTAGGTCAACGAGGGTATACTCTTGTGTGCTTTGAAAAGCTGTACCCTTACCCCAGATAAACTCTCTGCTTCTTGGCCACCATGAGGGGAATAGCTTTACACCCTGGTGTTTCGGCTTCCCCACGTCACTAAACACAGTAGAACTAGCCAACCATGGGCAGAAATTAGACGTTGAAATAAATTCCCCATTCAGTAAGTTGTTTTGACCGGGAATTTTGTCACAGCAGTAAAAGACTGACCAGCCTACCAACTGAGCAAGACAGTTGTGCTGGAGACACTGGTTCAGACTGGGAGAACTTGAGGTATGAGAAACAGTGTTTAAACTGCTGGGGAATAGCTCACAGTTGGCCTGGAAATCAGTACAGGGATACAGCCTTGGTCCTTAAAAGGCTTATCAATAACTTGACCTCAGGCTGGGGATGGAGTTTCCTTAGTAGAGTATTTGCCTAGCATGCCCTGGACTTGATCCCAGGTATTCCATAAAGCAGGTGCACATCTGTAATGCCAGCACCTGGGAGGTGAAGGCAGAAAGATTCAAGGCAGAAGTTCAAGGTCATCGTCTGCAACTTAGTGAGTTGGTGGCCAGCCTGGGATACAGGTGACCTCATATCCAAAAGAAAAGAAAGAAGGAAGGAAGGAGAAAAAAAAACCAAGCATTCTTATTGAAGGTTCTGCTCGGAGGTCCAACCTAAACCTTCTAAAGAAAAGGCTAGGTAAATGTGAACTAGAATCATAAAAGGGGACAAAACAACAGAATTTGATTATTCTCCCAAATCTCTGCATCATTGAGATGGATGCTTTTCTGTTTGCATAATTCCTCTTGAGTAGATTAATACTATAGAGTCTGCACATACTGACTCTAAACTAATCTCTCATTGTATGTTTCTAACTCTTATACCTCAGAAACACTTATAGGGTCTCCAGGAACGGGGCTTACTAATATTTCTGGAAAGAAAATGTTTTCTATGTTGCCCTCTCTGGACCCTTCACCTACATTCTACCTCTGCCCTCTGTGTCCACAGGTTAAAAGCTTAACTTATTTTTGTTTCAGAAGTTCACTGAGCACACCAGAAAGTTCGTAGCCCCCCCCCATTCTGACCTCTGCCTATCTCCTATCTGAGTCAACTCATTTAATAATCAAAACTTAACAAACAATTCTAAGGCTCATCAGGTCATTCAGAGAGAAAAGTCAGGAGCAAACCCTGAGCCTCTGGTTAGAGAAATGTTTTAGCTACATGTGACGACAGTTTCCAGTGTCTTGTGCTCATTTAGGAAACTCACACCACAGCCACTTGATGTCGGGTGCCAAAACACAGTAACAGTGTTTACCTAATACGGATGCTTGAACCATCTGCTCGAGACAGGTAAATATGTATGGTTTCCCTTCCTCAGATTATTCATAGAATCCGAATTTTAATGAAACTTGTGTGTCCCTTCATTTCCCAGAGGTGAAACTGAGACACCCGCCTCCCCCAAAGAGTTACTCAGCCAGCCTAATGCGGATTAGTAGCAAAATATTGTTGATAGTGCCAGAGGCACTTCCGGCCACCCCCCAACAGCAAATTATGATCCGGCAATGGTAGTGTCACCCTTTGCTCCAAGCTCCTCATTCCCTAACACTACCAGCTCACTAGCTTCCCAGGAATCTAAATTTACATTGTTATTATAAAAACAATGATGCGACTCAGATCCAGCAAATTCTCCAAAGAAGAGTCAGCTCATAGACAGAGACAACAAAACCAAAGGCCAAATAAGTCTGGACAACTGTGAGAGAAAATACCCCGGGGATTTAGTGACAGACCCAGTGGGGACTCCATATTTTCTGACTGGCCGGAAAGCCCCAGTGTTCACCACAAAGGTTTAGCTAACAAACGATCAATAGCATAAATGTGAGGTCATTTTTTTTCTCTCTCATCTAGAAGATGCATTCATGGCCAGAACAATCTAATTCATTTAATCAGTACGTGAGTTCTACTGTGGTGGTACTGTACTGGGCAACCATCTGTCAGAAAACTGTAGAAGGGTTAGAACAGTGGGTTGGAAGATTGGACCCGCTGACCTCTAACAACATTCTTCCACTTCTAAGATCATTTGATTTCGCACACTCTAGGAGCTGGATACCTCAGCTAGCCAGCATATTTCCACAAGTATCCCGGAGCGTCCCCACGGGAGTTCTCCTGCTGTGGGCTAGACTCGGCCCTGCTGTTTCAGACACGACACTCTATCCAAACTGCATGCAATGCAATACTCCAGGCACAGAGAGTACGTGGAAAATGCAATTCTGCCGTTTCCAAAGACAGACTACCGCAGCTTCACTTTCAAAATTGCCTTTGCCTAAATGAGCATCCCATAACCGAGCCTTCACAAGCAGCTTTGGCAGCTTGTTCGGGTACGACGCTCCTATCAGGATCAATTATGCAGTGTCTTCATGAGGAGAAATCAGATTCGGATGCAAGTTGGAACAGAAAAGAGAAAGGTTGACTTCTCAAAGGAAGATTACTGTATCAAATCACCCCCCCAAAATTGCTGGAGTCCTTCCATGTACAGACAGATTTGGATGGCAGTCCCCAGCTGGGCTAGCCATGGGAAGGAGGAAATTGACATGTTTGAGAAATGAAGCCTATGTCAACCAACAAGATGGGGAAGGCCAGCACATTATTAACCCCCTCCTTTCTACGTAGTTCCATGGCAAGCTGTGATTCAATGTACATCTGTTCACTTGATTCTAAATTTTTAAAGATGGACTGACTTCTGACTTCCTTTTGGGAGCAGTGAGTCCAAGGAAAAGAAGTTTTATTAATTTTTCTTTCGGGAGATAAAAATTCTGTTGAGGTTGGAGCTAGAAATTAAAGGGAGCTCCACAAAAGAGGATTCTCGTATTGATTTTTATTTTACATGCATGGGATTACAAAAAAAAAGACTTAAACTATCTAATTATATAGACAAGCTAGGTGTTTGCAAAGATTCCAGAGGAGCAAAGTGATGCTATACAACCCAATGTCTAACAACGAAACAATACAGACAGCCCTACAAAGTGTCACAGTCTTAAGAGTGTGACATGCAGTCTCTGTACCCAAGACTACTTTCAAGGACTTGGCCCTTGGCACTTCTCAGCTGCTGCCCAGACCCTGAGGAGGGTAGGGTCATGAGGGAGGTTGAATAATGAAAAAAGCAGGTGTCTTAGCTGCCTTCACCAGTGAATTATGGTATGTAAAGTCCAATCCAAACAGCCCCCGGAACTTGGGGTGTTCGGAGGGCAGACCGTCTTCGTTCCCCAGGATGAGGTGCCCACCTCAATTTATTGCAGTACCAACTAGCACCAGCACGGCCCATGACTAAGCCCTCCCCGCCCCTCAACCCCCCATTCTGGGTTTGCACCTCGTCTCTTCCAGAGGGCATGTCTCAAAGGAAAACGCAACTTGAGGAAAGGAACCTAGTTGAGAAAAATCAGTCTTTGTGGCTGTCACCCTCCCTGGGAACAGCGGCAAGAAAATCCACACATACATCCCAAGTCAGCCAGGTGCCCAGGCGGAGAAGGACCGGAGGGGAGAGAAAGAGACAGCGGTAAGGGGTAAAGCGGAGTCCAGGGAATGGAAAAAGAAGGGCAGGATGAAGGAGCGAAGGACAGCGAGAGAGAAGAGGAGAGAGAGAGAGAAGCTGGGGAAGGACGGCAGGGGAGGCAGCCAGGAAGGGCGAAAAATGCGCGGGGCAGCGGAGCGCGGCGACTGGAGAGGCGACCGCGGGGACCCGCGCGCCCCTGGGAAGCCCGGGCTGCGCTCCTGGCGCGGACGCCGGGGACGCGGGGTGCGCCCCGCCGCTCACCTTTCAGGATGAGGGTGTCGATGTCCCGGTCGATGCCCAGGAAGTAGCACTTCCTCCAGAGGCCCGAGTAGGTGGCGAACAGCGGCCGGCCACACTCGGCGTCCAACCCTCCGAGCCCCAGCAGCGAGCGCCAGGACTCCGGGTCTGCGCGCCCGGGGCCGCCGGGGAGCAATCGTCGTCCCAGGGGAGGCGAGTCCCGCAGCGGCAGGTGCGACAGGGGCATCAGGCGGTTCTTCTGATCCGGGGGGTCGGCGCCCGCGCGGCTGCGCTCGCAGCTCTCCTTGTGGCGCCGGGGGTCGGTCTCGTACCAGTGATCGGTGAAGATGGCCGTGACGAGCAGCCCCAGGGAGCAAAGGCTGAGGCCGAGGCTGAGCGCCGTGACGAGCGCCCGCGGCTCCATGGCTTCCCGGCTCGCCGCAGCCGCCGGTGGGCTCGCCGCCGCCGCCAGACACAATGCACTTGGCCTCGGCGCTCCGCCGCTCGCCCTCCCTCCCCGCCACCTGCCCCGCGCTCCCCTCCCACGGCCGCCCGCCCGCCCGCCCGCCCGCCTCACTCCCCCGCGGGAGCCTCCTCCCGCCCGGCCCCGCGCCCTCCCCCTTAGCCGGCTCCCCGCACTCCACCGACCCCCCCACCCCCCGCCGCTTCCGCCCCTCGTCCCTCTCCCTGCTTCCAGCTCCCGCGGTCTGTCCCCCCCACCTCTCTCCAGACCCCTCTCCCTTCCTTCACCTCTGCTCTCGGTCCTTCCTTAGCTCTCTCCGGTCCTTTTTCCTCTTATTCCCCGGTCCCTACTTTCCCCCTTACTTTTCTTCAACTCTTCCAGACGCTCTTTCCTCACTCCCGCTGCCCCTTTGCGTCCCTGGCTCCTTCTGCCTTTATATACCTGCCTTGGATTCCAAGGCTCCCAGCGCCTACCCCCGCGCAGACCGCCTCCGGTCCTCTGTCCCTCCCACGACCTTAGGAGACATCCACCAACATCAGGCTCGATCTTGCCTCTGGTCCAAGTTGATTTGGATCACTGTCTCCATTTTGCTCCCGGGAGCAAATCCCATCCAATTCCTTGAGCGTGGGCGTTTTTGACTCTTTAGAATCTTGATCTAGAGCCACGAACCTCGTTTCTTGATCCTTGAAGGGATCCAGCCTCAGAGACCTTGGCTGCTAGCTCTCTCTGTAGATGGGCTTTCCCCCTCTCACCAGCTCATGGCAGCCTGGAAGCATCCTCTCTGCTCCAGTTCTTTCGGGAGGAGACACCCAGTGTCTCTGGAGCCACAGAACCACGGCCAGAGATAATACCTGCCCACTTCATTTCTGCCTGCTCTGAGATGGACTTCTTTTTCGTGGGCTATCTCCACGCCTGAGCGACTGAAGGCCTCCTGGATCAATAAGGCCTTTGCTGTGGCACCTGCTCTGCCAAGTGATTATTGCCTTTGAATAAAGCAAGCCCCCAGTGATAAATCAAAGTAATGATTTTCTACTGTGCAAGTTTCTCTGGTGGCCATCGAGGGTCAACAACGAACCAGGGCTCCACACCAGTCAGCATCTGAGGCTTTGTGTTTTCCAGGGCTCTCTGGAGTCACAGATGTTCACTCCAAGAACGACAGGCAGGCTCTCATTTTTCTAAAAGAGGAATCCTCAGGACTAATGTACTAAGAGTGAAAGATGCACATGTATCGTCTGCATGGCAAGGTGCAATACCCCTGTCCCACCGACGCCCTTGGGGCTATGTCAGAGACAGAAAACCGTGCCGCACCAGCCCAGGATAGCTATCCTTATGTCCTGATGCTATGAAATATTAATGATTCAAGAGATTATGAGGCATTCATTAGATGCTAAATGTCATCACTCTGTGATTTAATGGGACTTATTAATTAGTGCCCCCACATCAATTGATATTAAGGTGATTTATCTGCCTCCTATGGAATGGCATCTGTAAAGGTAGAATGAGAAGCCACTGAGATTCATTTTCATTGCTGCGTATGCTCAACATCTTCAGGGGATATTTTTCCTGTGGAAGAGCTTGTACCTCTTCTGAGCTATTTCATTCACAGATCCCTTAAGCAAATCTTGGTCATATCAGACCCCCGTGTCTGTTTCTGCTGACCTGCCAGTGTGAATTATTGCTTGGATTTTCTCACAGCCTCAGCAAGAACTGTGGTGAGCTCTGGGTCTAATTAAGGAAGACAAAGAATTACAATTTTAGTGTTCTTCTCACAATCAGCTTTCCTTTAACAGGAAGCAGGAAACCCGGCAGAGGCATCTTACCAGGATTTACACAGAAATGATGGGACTTAGAAGGTTTCTTTTATTTATATTCTATAATATGTGGAAGATCATAGATCTTTCCGGATATTCAGAGTCCCTTTCACTGTGAGCCCAATTGGTATCTGAAATTAACAGGGTGCCCCGTGTCTTTTTGTATTGAAAAGAAGTCTCTTAAGATAGTTACGACAAATCTGGAGACTCTCAAACGTTGTCAGCCCTTTAGTGTGTCTTCATCATGTCCTCACCTCCTGATGTACTACAAGACACAAATACTCCGCCACATTTCATAGCCCTGTGACCATCATCACACTAACCCTGTCCCCGAGTGGAGAAGGACAGCAGAAACCCTTTTCAGTCACGGCAATGCGACTTAAAAGAACATAGTGTTCTGTCTTGTTTCCCTGGATGGAACTCTTTGATCAGACCCTTCTTGGGAACTAGCGTCATCCTTGGGGTTCATTTACGTCTCTGTTTAAAATCAAGCCCAGCATATAATCTAAAGGTTGCTCCATGATGGATTGCCTTTGACAGTATTTCATAAAAAAATGTCACACATTACAAATACGGGCCAGCAGTGTGTAATGAGAGTGCTGCCTCTGCTGGTGCTGCATTAGCGGCGTCGGAGAAAAGTGACATGTGATGTGTATACTGGCTTCGCTACAGCAGCTGTACATTGCTTCATCCACGTTTTCGACATCCCTCCATTGGATATTTCCAGTGATGAGTTATCATCCACCAACCACTGCTGTTAGAAAGGGAGGGATACAGAGACGAGAAAAGGGTTCCCATCTCCACGCTGTTTCCAGTCTGGTGGCAAGAAAAAGACCCGTGCCCAGAACTAGAGGTAAATACTGGAGCAGAAATATAAACAAAGTGTTGCAGGAATGTGGACCTGTAAAAAGGCTAACTGCCCGTGGAAGGGGTTGTCAGGCGGGCCGCAGAGAGACATTGGAGTCAGTTCTCAGAGGATGGATTGAATTTTGCCAAGAAAATAGTATCCGAGATATCAGCATTGCATTCAGGTTATAACTCTTCGATTTTATGTCCATCTTGTACATCTGGAAATTTCAGTGTTTATGGACATTGTAAAACAAGTATTTTTCCATATCTTTAAGTCATCTAGTTAGACTACTCTAATGGCTGCTTACACTCTGGGTGCTTACAGAGGGCTGGAACTAGGAGTCTGAGCCAGAATATGGTTAAGGTATGAAAACGTTGAGCTTGGCCCAGGGTCAAGATCATGAGAGGTTGCACATCCAGCACACAGGAATGGCTCAGCACTAGCTGAGCTAGAAGCTCGACATTTTCAAACTTTGCTTCATTCACGCATCTAAATTTTGTTTCTGCTATCTCCAGATCAAATACCCCAGTGCACCCCTCACAAGAAAGCCAGGTCTTGAAGTGACAGAGAGGAATCTAGAAAGCATTCCACCTGGGAATTTCACTGTCTTGAACTCATGAACTCAGCATGTCCAAACCTTAAGCTTGTATTTCCCCATGTTGCAGCTGCCTCTCCCAAGCTCTCTTTCTCCCCTGCTGACAATTCATGGAAGCCACTTAAATGCGGTATTTCAGAATTTTCCAAGTGGCGAAGCTTTTTCCTTTGCAGTGTCATTTATATCCATCCTTCTGTGTCTGTCCCACTAGCAATGCCCATGCCTCTAGCACTACCTCTGGATTGGCATGACAGTGCCCTCCTTGTCCCCAAGATTTCAGGAGCCACCTTTCCTGTGGTTACCACAGACACTGTTGCCAGATGTTTCTTCCTCAAGGTCTCTTTCTCTCACCTTGCATTTCCCACTCCTTAGGGTAGAGAGAATAATCCCCTCTATGCCTCTAGAGTCCTTCTTTGCTACTGTGAAGTATTCCCAAAGCAGTTAAATGCTCCAACTGATATGTTGGCCGTGTTTAAGTATTTAGAAAACAAAAACACATTTGTCATAATATCTGGGTGCCATATGACAATGATCATATTTATTGTTAGAGTAAGAAGTTCTTTACACAGACATTTCCTTATAAAAAGGTACACACACACACACACACACACACACACACACACACACACACACACACACTGCCTCCACGTATCCCAGAGCTACAACAATGATTTATTGACATATCAATGCACAGCTAACATTGTTGGCCATAAATATTCTAAGAGACTTTCACCTTTTTGTGACAGTGCCAAGATTTCCAAGTACCATCCTTTCTTATTTTGAACACTTGGATTAAGCCCACCTCACTCAAGCAACTCTCATAAAAGGAAGCTTTCTTTTTCCTGGTAATATCACACATTTTTTTTTCAGTACTTAATGTAAGGATGTAGTCAATTATGTTGTTGATCTACAATATGTCGTTTCTAAAAATACTTGAGGTATCTTCTCTAAGTTTTTCTCTGGAAGCAATTTTATTTTAACTCAAGATATACTAAGCACTTCCAAAGTAAGTCTTGGTGCTAGGTCTCACTGGATTCTGCCAGGATGAAGGAAACACGGCCTATGCATGCCCTCAGGAAGCTTTAGGTTGGTGGAGAAGGAGAACAGAAATGTAAGAACTGATGAAGAGGGACAGCTTGGACAAGTGATGTCACAGAGATACAAAGGACAAGAGGACAATCTAGTCCAGAGACAGAAGGTTCCACTCTGAAGTGGGTAAGCCATGTGGCATCAACACCATCTCAGGCCCTTGGAAGAGAAGACGTGTTTTCTTCTGTGTCAACTAAGTCCAGGGCAAACCCAAAGGTCTATTTTAGAAGCAGCACCCACACTACAGTGCTCTTCTGTATCCCACACGTGTGGTAAGCATCCATCCTAACAGTGCCATTTTGTCACGGACTAGATGCCTGAAACCACAAAATACCACAAAAACCCTGAAATAGATGGTGGCTGATAGTTTCTCATCTTGCTGACACACCACAGAATGTCACCATTCTTCTTCACATTCCTGGATTAAGCTGTTTCCTTTTTGGATCCTTTAAGCACATATGGTAGGAGGGGGGAGATGTTCAAAGAAACCCATAACCATGTTAAGTCCCACTCAAAGTGTGATGTGCTAGCAGATGGTGGCTCATTAATTGCCATACCTAAGTACATTCACCACCTTATCTGTGTGTGCAGATACGAGAGTTCGAGTCTGTTCTCTTGGGCCATATTTGACAACCAAAGCAGAATTGGATATAGCTAAAATGTCCACTGCCTCCAATTCACAGCCATCTGTGATGCTGCCTGGATGGACAAAAGAGCCAGGCTTTCCAAATGTCTACCCATTCTCTCGGACACACAAACCTTCTCTCGAGGTTGTATCTATGCAAAGACACCAGGACCTGGAAAATGCACGTAGGGCAGCTACCTAAGAGAAACTCGCTATTCTCTACCTGTGTGCCCCAAAGCAGGCAGTTACCCAGCCTCCTAGATACATAATTCTGAACAACTGGACTATACATGTCTACCTCACATGATCATCCTATCCTTCCCACTCCTTTCTCTCCCCTGTAGCTTGAGTTTTCCTGCCTTGCCCACAGTCAGGACAAATCTCTCTCACCTGCCAGTCCCACAGCCACTCAGACCCAACCAAGTAAACACAGAGACTTATATTGGTTACAAACTGTATGGCCATGGCAGGCTTCTTGCTAACTGTTCTTACAGCTTAAATTAATCCATTTCCATTAATCTATACCTTGCCACATGGCTTGTGGCTTACCGGCATCTTCACATGCTGTTTGTCATTGTGGCGGCTGGCAGTGTCTCTCTGACTCAGCCTTCTACTTCCCAGCTTTATTCTCCTCCTTGTCCCGCCTACACTTCCTGCCTAGCCAATGGCCAATCAGTGTTTTATTTATTGACTAATCAGCAACACATTTGCCATACAGAACATCCCACAGCACTCCCCTGTGTCTACTGTAGCAAGAGCATCTAATCTAGATGTCATAGATACAAATGGCTAGGCAACTTATTAGTGACACACTTTCCATGTTGTTACTTACATTAAAATAAAAAAGGCAACCTACTGTCTTCATTTGCTGAATACTATGTACAGAGTTCCTAGAGGCCAGGGAGAGAGTCTTGTAAACAGAGGGAGTCCAGGGCACCGAGGAACTGAAAGCAGGGAGCTGTGGCTAGAGAACAGTTAACAAGGGATGAATGAATGAAGAATGGGTAAAGTATGAGATGACATTGCAGTATAAGGCAAGTTCAACCATACATGGAGCCTGGACTTGAATCCAAAGAAAATCTTTAAGGAGTTTTAGGCAGGGAAAGGGCATGAATTGATTCATGTTTTTAAATGTCACTCAAGCTGCTGTGTGAAGTTGGTTGGGGGCTAGGGATGACAAGTATCAGGCAGGGAAACCAGTTGGGGGGCAACTGTCTAGCCAAGGTAGGTACCATTAGCATGTGGACCAAGGAAGCATCAGCTAAAACGGAGAGGAAAGGATGGAGGTCAAACTCACAGAATCTCTGTGAGTGCAGGTGATGAAGGCCAGAAATCAAGAGCCATGCAACTTTTCCAGTGTGAGTTCCCAAACAGTTTGCTGTGAGCTCAGAGGGGAACGCTAGAGGAGAGAAGTACTTGGAAGAAGGAGAAACACGTTTTGGACATGATGACTTTGAGATGGCACTTAGCAAGCCCTGTGGAAAAGGCAGTTGGATGTGTGAATTTGAGACTAAGAGAAGCAGCCTGGTTGGGGGTGTTGCTTGATGGGAGAATGTTTTCTCGGGGTGTGCAAGGCCCTGGGTTTGTTCCCAAGCAGAGGGAGTGGAGAGGGTTCAGACTAGAGATTTAGATCTAGTGACGTCAACATAGAGATACTCATTTCATATTGACAGTCAAGTTCATGGGACTAGACGGGATTGTTCAAGAGAAGGATAGCTTTAAAAAGCTGAGAGGTTGAGCTCTAGGCTCTGAGACCCTGAAAAATACAAAGCTTTATTAGAAGGGAAGATTTCAAACCTCTGGTTCCTGCTCTGTGAAGCGGGGATAAGAGTTGGATCCTTCTTAGGGTGCTAGAAGAATGTAAAAACAATGCATACGCAGCACCCAGGGACACAGTGGATGCGAAGGTTGATGCACACACAGCAGGTGTCTAACATGATTGACGGCTGTTGTCATTGTTGTTATTTATCATCTCCACCAATAATATTTGAAGACTCTCTTTTGCAGGCCATGATCCTGTGGTCAGACCATTACTGTTCCAAGGACTGGACCCTAATGAAAAGCATGAGGGCTTGGTATGAAACCTCTAAACACATACATGGCCTGTAGTAGCTGTGAGATGATATGCATTCAAGACTGTGAGGAACCATTATGCTCTTTCAATAGGCTATTTTGTTATGGGCCCATAAAGGGGGTTTAACGCTGTTTTGTGAACAGCAGAAATAAGCTGCCAGGGCGTGATAAGGTGTCTCCACCTTCCAAGGTCTTTAGTGGGTGAGTTAGAAAGGCCTCTGTATGAAACGATTGCCCACAGCTACTGCATCTTACAAGCACAAATCATATTATGTGAGTAAGAGTATCTGGACTTTTCCTTTCTTGACTAAGGAATAGAGGAGCTCGCAGAGGACAAGGGGCCATTAAGTCAGCCTTGAACAGCACCTGTATAGGAAGAGAAAAAGAAACATCCTCCCTTTTAAGGGGGGGGGGGGTGAGAGAAGGTCAAGGATTCAGGCACCATCCCAACTCAAAGATACAGGTCCTGGAAGGCAGAAGGGCTTGCTGTGTAAGGGATGGGTACTATGAGCTCCAGCTGTGAGAACTGGGTTGACATTCCTGATTCTCATGGCCAGGATCTGGAGACAAAGACTTAATCAAATTCGAATCAACGTGAGTGCATAGGTGTCCATCCCCACCTCTGAGAGCAAGGTTGAAGCCTGGACAACTCTTTTGTTGCCTTCAATTCTTGATTTGGATAAATCTCTTGAAAACCTGGGTGAGCCCAGGTATTCATTAGCTTGGATGTGAATCCCTGTGAACAACTGGATACTCAGAATACCTCAGGTTGTGCTCTGTTCTTTACAGCTCTCAGTGTGCCAGGATTTGCTCAGGCACCGCGGAGCACGAGCATCTGATGCTCACTGTGCTTGGAGAACCATGCTGTCCTTCTGGAAGGAGTCACCAGTTTGGCAGCCCTTGGCATACGATCCTCATGGTCACACCTGAGCCCCTGTAATGAATGGCCTCCACATGGCATTGATGGTCACTCAAGGAGAGACTCAAACGAAAGCTTGGGAACAAATTACCATCTCACCTCCCACTGTGGGCTGGAGATGAGCAGGACCTTGTCAGGGTCAGATTTATGAGGCTCACTAAAAGAGAGAGAGGGAAGGCATCGGTGCCCAAAAAGGAATCCAAGTAGGTGGCGTTGATGTATGAGCTTCATCTGCCTAATTTATTTGGTATCGGCAACCTGCATGTGATGGAGAGCCTTAGATTATGTGAGTGGCAAGTCGGAGAGAGAGCTGGCAGTTGGGGAGATGTCTCTTAGTGCTTTCCAGCCAAGTCACCAGGTGCCTTAGGAAACCCCGTGAAAATCCCGACATGACAGAGAGTGGTTTTCTCTAGCAATCCTCACATTTAGCCAAAAGAAATTCCTAAAGTTTCGAAGACTGAAGTTTAGTCACAAATAGAGAAGGTTAATTTCGGGTGGTCAGGGAAATTATTTAATTACTCAATTTCTTTTTTTTCCCCCAAAGATGCCTGGCTGGCCTCATCCTAAAAATTTGTGGGTAATTATTAGTTTTTCTAGTTTCATTTGCTGGCTTACAGTTTTCTGTATCAACTATTTTTCCCAAGAAGCCTAGGCCTTTTTATATTCTTCTGTCAATAAAGTGAGAATTTAAAATGGTCTTCATGGCACTATTAATTGGATTTATAGGACTCATTTTTACTGTACTTTTAATTATATTTTTATTATTTAAAACAATTTTAAAATTTAGATATATTGTGATCATATTTTTCCCCTAAGTCCTTCCAGATCCTCTCCTCCTCCTTGCCCACCCGACTTCAAGTTCTCTCTCAAAAAACAAAAACTCAATACAAATAATAAAACCCCCCAAAACCAAGAAAACAAAGCAAAACTATACCCAAAAGAAAAAAAACAACCAACCAAACTGTAGCCAAATAAACACACACACACACACACACACACACACACACACACACACACACACACACCTCACATACACACACAAAACAAAAACTATAGGAGTCCAATTATATGTTGGCCAGTTACTTCTGAACATAAAGCTTGTCCTGGAGTGGTTGATATACCCAGTGTCACTCTCTTGGGGAAAACTAATTTTCCCTCTCCCAGCAGGTATCAATGGCAGTTCGGTTGTTAACCTTTACCCTAGTGGATAGATTTTCATTCATTCATTCATTTATTTTTTAGTATAACAAAATAAAATATAGTAAGATGAAACAAAAACTATCACATAGAAGTTGGATGAAACAGACCAACGGAAGGAAAAGAGCCCAAGAGAAGGCACAGGAATCAGAGACCCTCTCATTTGCACACTGAGGAACCCCATAAAAACACTAAACTGGAAGCCATAACCTGTAGGCAGAGGACCTGGTGCAGACCCGTGCAGGCTGGACTTACAGGCTTCATTTTTAAATGTTATCATTGATAGCGATGACAGTACACCAGATATGGAATCCTTAAAAGGTGTTGCGGTGGGAGGTCGGCCTGGAACACAACCAGTGTTGGGATTAGGGCCATCCGTGGTTCCTGGGTCTGGGAGGAGATTTGGTGACAAAATTGTTCTCAAAGCAGAGGAAAACAGCAGGATAATAGTAAATGATACATGATCAAGGCACGTGAGCAATGGATTCTCTGTCTGTTCATCTATGAGCTGGATACAAGCTGCCCCAAGATGCCATGGACCAAGCAACAGGCACAAGTCAGAGGAGTTGACGCAACCGTTCTCCAGCCTGATTTGGCGTGGGTTTCGGTATTTATTTATTTATTTATTTATTTATTTATTTATTTATTTATTTATTTTGTATTTTTGAGACAGCATCTCATGTTTCAGGCTGGCCCTGCACTCACTGTGTATCTGAGGATGGCCTTGAAATCTTGATCCTCTTGCCTCTGCCTCCAAAGGACCGCGATGACTGATACCCCCCACCCACTACACCTGGCTTAGGTTTGGCTATCTAAAGAGCTGCTTGGTTTATGCTTAGGAGGATAGCAATTTCTATAACTTCTCTGATATGGCTGACTACCTTTCACCATTGCAGTGGAGTGTTTGCAGGTTTATAGGTAATACTTAGCATGTATTGATCGTGCGCTATTTGACAGGAGCTGGTAATATTTTATATGTGTTTTTTTTTCTTTAATCTTTTCACAGCTACTAGCATCAGTATCAGCATCAGCATCTCAGCATCAGCATCAGCATCAGCAGCATTGTTCTTATTATCCAAGTCTTCCCAGTAAGGAACCTGGAGAAGCACAGAGGTGAGCAACTTGCTCAGGACAGAGCCACGATGCCAGCGTGCAAGGTGTGACCTCAGGGCCTGCACTTACACCTATTATTTGTTGACTTCCTAGGCAGGTGACAGCTTTTAGCCCATGGTGAAGGTATCATGATGAGAAGTGTGTGGTTTCTGAGGAGATACTGAAAGTAAAATCAAAAGGATTTACATCGTAATAACAAAAGAGAAAGAGAATGGGTGACAATCTCATCAATGAACCAAGGGGAGGCTGTGGGAAGTGGAGTTGAAGTGTGGGCAACATTAGGAGCTCAGATGGAGCGCACTAAGATTTCTACTAGCTATGTTAAGTTAAGCAAGCCATGGGCTGTGCAAGTATAGAGTTAAAGGAAGTAGTTCAGGCTAAATATAGAAACTTGGAAGCAGGAGAATCCAAATATAGATGAGGCTTCAACCATGAGACTGGATGATGTCAGCCAGAGAGTAAGCCTTGACAGAAAAGGTCAAGGGCTGTGACATGGAAAAGCATTATCTATTGGTGTCTAGGAGAGAAGTAGAAGCCAAACGAAGTGGCCAAAGAGATAAAGAGAGTGCAGAGTCCTGGGAACCAAGAGAAGAAAGTATTTCAGACAGTAGGGAATCGTCAGCACTCCCAAGTCAGTGACTAGTTCAACAAGACAAGGAGCTGGGACATCAGTGTGGGGCTTAGCAATGCAGAGGTCACCGGTGGCCTTAACTACAAGAGTTTCAACAGTGTGGGGGTGTGAGCTTGACTGGAGTAGATCCAGGGAAGATTAGGACAAGAAACAAGAGTGTATCTAGACCGTCCTTTCAAAGAGTGCTCTTATACATAGGGGTAATAAGTGGGGGCCGGGGGTGAGGTGGGAATAAGGTAGAGTGTATTTTGTTGAAGCTTGGCGTGTATGTGTGCACTAATGGAAATGTTTAATGAGAAAAATAATACAGAAAAGAAAGGGAGCTTTTGGGGTTTTGTTTTTCTGGGCAAAAGTAGGTATGTTGGTATTGGTCAGGGTCTGGACCAGGCGTTTCCAGGTTCCTGACCTGAAAGAAAAGCCCACAGAGATTACATAGCATTGAGGAGACTTTATTTAAAAAAAAAAAAAAAGCAACGGACCAGAATACACTGCAAGACAACAGTGGACCACATAAATGAAGACACACCACGCTCCCATTATTGTTTGGGGCTTTGTTTTATAGGGTACACAAGAAAGGAGGAGTTTAGGTACTAGGGGTATAATCAAGTGGTTCTCTATTTTGACTGTCAGCTTATATTACACAAACATTTGCTCACTGTCACTGTCTCTTTCCTTAAGACACCTAGTTTTAATATGTACACCCTATTATTCACACTCATAGCTCACAGAGGACTTTCCTTGAGAGTTTACTTAAAGACAAGTTTCCCTTGTACCCCAAACCAGATCTGCCCCCATACCATCCATATTCGGAGGTATGTATGTATAGTCCATGCAAGTAGTGGTGCTTAAGGCATTATTAGAATATGGGTGTGTGCATAGCCCCAACCAAACGGATCCCAGGTTGCTAAGCCGCTCCCTATACTCTTACCTCACAGGTGCAGACAAGAAGGGAAGGCATCTGGTAGATGAATGGAGAGGTTGTTGTGGGTGTGGTGTGGACATCACTGTCACCTATGGAAACCGTCAAAATTGCTGAGGACCCAGCAGAAGGAGCAGGGAGATGAGTAACTGTGATAATTTGCCATGGTGGAAGTTCTTTGCTGAGCAGAGTTTCTCAGGGGATGGTAATGTGGTTAGAGGATGGGAAGTCATAAATAGAGGTGCCCATCAGAGTGCTGATGGGCTGTAGATGCATGGGAGCACTTTGGTGGTGAAAAAGAAGCATTTCAGCAAGGGGAAAAACCCATACACACCCAGAGACGGTGATGAGCAAGGTACGCGCTCATGGGTCAGTGAGCACCTGGTCCAGACAGGATGCAGGACTTCTGACGAAGAATCTTGGATGAAACTGCAAATGTTGATTCAGACTGCAGGGGATTTAAACACCGTCAAGATATTGATCAATGGAGAAAAGAGCTGTGACATCACGGAAGAAGGAAGCTGGCAATTAATCTAGCCGTGATGGTGAAGAAAATGGTAACAGAGCACCCCAGGAGCATCTAGGCATGAGTGATAAGGCACAGGCATTGTGAATAAGAAAACAACATTGGGCCGGGCGGTGGTGGCGCACGCCTTTAATCCCAGCACTCGGGAGGCAGAGGCAGGCGGATCTCTGTGAGTTCGAGGCCAGCCTGGACTACCAAGTGAGTTCCAGGAAAGGCGCAAAGCTACACAGAGAAACCCTGTCTCGAAAAACCAAAAAAAAAAAAAAAAAAAAAAAAAAAGAAAACAACATTGGGTAAGTCAATCAAAGCGGGAAAGGAGTCAAGGAAAGTTGTGCAATTCCAAGGTGAAGTGAATGAGTTACAGGGGTGTGCAGAAGCCAGTAGAGAAGAAACTGAGACAGAAATTAAGCCTTTGAAGCCGGGCAGCCATGGCACACACCGTTAATCCCAGCACTCGGGAGGCAGAGCCAGGCGAATCTCTGTGAGTTCGAGGCCAGCCCGGGCTACAGAGTGAGATCCAGGAAAGGCTCCAAAGCTACATGGAGAAACCCTGTCTCGAAAAAAAGAAAGAAAAAAAAAAAGAAAGAAATTAAGCCTTTGGCTTCTAAGGGGTAAAGAGAACACGAAGAAAAACTTTAGGTAGCAGAGATTGATAGATTCCTTTTCTTTATTGAGAACTCCAGCCATGAAGGGAGATGAATCCTTGTGTAGCTACAAAAGGCTAGGAAGAGTAAAAGCTATTTTGTAGATTTTTCTGTCATTGTGGTTGTTTTCTTGTTTGTTTGTTTTGTCTTGCTTTGTTTTCTTCCATATTTGGGACTAAACCCGGGCTCTCGCACTTTGTATATAAGCATTCTACCACTGAGCTAAATCCCAAGCTCCTAAAGTTCTTTTAAGGTAGAGGAAACTCAGGTTTGTTTGAAGGAGAGGCACAGAGGAAAATGACGCCAGACTTACGGTATGACAAATTAAGTTTGTAATTTGAATAAATAAAAATCAGGCCGTTCCTACTATTATAATACTACATATTATACTATATTATTCTAAGTATTGCTTGCTTATAAAACTTTGTTACAAACTGATTTGATATCCAATCAAACAAACAGTTTAAAGAAATATCTATGGAGAGTCATTAGCGCCTAAGGAGATAATCTCCTTAGGTTAGGCCTAATCTTGGCATCTCATTGAGAATATCAGCTTTGTGACTGTGGTGGGATCCAGTGATTGTCAGCCTCCTCCACAACCCAAGAGCGTGTTCCCTTACATGGCAGAATGGATTTTTGCAGGTGTGACAGTTTGATCAGTAAAATGCTTGCTGCACAAGCAGGAGGATCAGAGTTCGATCCCAGAACCACATATAAATCCTAGCTGTGGTAGCACATGTTTGTAATCCCAGTTTGGGGACGGTAGAGACAGAAGGATCCCCAGGGCTGGCCAGCTAGCCAGCCTAGCTGCATCAATGAGGCCTAGACTGTGAGAGATCCTGTCTCAAAACACAAGGTGAGTACTGACTGAGAAACAGCTAAGGTTGACCTCTGGGTGTACACCCCTTTTCCTCACCACCACCATGCAATACACAAATGTGCACATGTGCGCGTGCGCGCGCGCGCGCGCACACACACACACACACACACACACACACACACACACACACACATATACATGCACATAATTTAAATAATAAAATTAAAAGTTGAGGATTTTGTTGAAATGAGAGATTATCCTGAATTATATACACGGGTTTGATCTAATCATATGCAATCTCAGAGCCATAGATATTTCCCTGCCATAGTCTAGGAAAGGGAGAAGTGTGGTAATAGAGAAAAGGACAGAGGGGTCACAGTGTCACTGGATTTGAAGGAAGAAGCTGGCATGCGCTACAGACCACAGGCTAACCTCCAGAACGCAGAGAAACATAGGAACCATTTTCCCCAGGTCTCCAGAAGGCACACACCTGAAAAACCCCTTGCCTTCACCCCAAGGGAACTACTTTTGGACTTCTTACCTCAGAACTATAATATGATAACTTGTGTTAAGTGGTTAAGTTTCTAGTAATTTGTTGGAGCAGCTGAAACAGACCTGGTTGTTAAGCTGTACCCCAGTACCTGGCTCCAGGTTTGTTTTTATTAATAAGACCTTTTAAGATTCATGCTGCAAAGCTGCTTCCATTTTCAGACAGGACCCTCCTCCAACTCACCACAACCCCTCCCCCGCCCTGCTCCCTGACCCCTCTGTGTCCTGAATGTCAAGAGATACAGAAATTAAAATCCTTAACAGAAAGGATATCCACTATATTTCACAGCAGGAAAGTGAGTAGGAGAGATGGTCTGGGCTGCAGGAAATCCCTTTGTTCGGGCATTACTTTCCTAGAGGACTCTCACTCTGTCACCCAAGGCGCTGCTCTGTCTGCCATCCGGGACAGGAAAGGTTTGAGAATTGTTGTAGCAGATTCTCCAGGAAGCCACGAAGAAGCCCACGTACGAATCATTACGTCTCTAATCATCCTAGGCGTGATCTGTCCAGGGAATTCTTAGGGGTCGTCCAGAACCCTGAGCTATTTCCTGTATCAAACAACAGTGAAGATGTCGTTCCCTTCCAACTCACTGGATACTGTCAGAATGGATGTTTACCTGACATTTACAGAATAAAGCATGTGTAGCCACTGCCTTGGTTACCTGAACCCAAGTTGCCAAGACCACAGAGGTTGCCTTTGGCTTTCGCTTATGAGACATTACAAAAGGACTCAAGTATTTTGAGAGTTCCACGCAGGTAGATCTACACTGAACGGAGCAGCTGGATTGTAGTGGGGAAGGAAAGACATGGGAATTAAAAGTAGAAATAAAAGGAAGTAAGTAAATAAATCCAGAGGAAGGTGGAGGACTAGGCAGAAAGACTTCATGGGAAAAAATAACAACAGCAAAGAA